AAATAAAAGGTTACACTTGAAAAGTGCCATTTTCTGAGAAAAAAATTTTTTTTTTAATTTTTTAGAAAAAATTTTTTTAAATAAAAAAAGATTTATTTAAAAGACATTATTAATAGAAAAATAAAAAAAAATTTTTGAATTTAAAAAAAAAAACAATAAATAGACAAAATGTGTGTAAGGTCACGCTATTGCTTAAGCAGTTTTTGAAGGTTTTCTTTAAAAATAAAAAATAATAATTTAAAATTATTTAGAGAATTAAATTTCTAAAATAAGGAAAATAATGTATGATTCTACCAGTTTAAGAAGCCTTTACTTTACCGAAAAATAAATAAAAAAAATTTTCCGTTCGCTAAACAATTACCGTAAATACTCTAATATAAGTCCAACTCTTGTAAAAGCCCAACTCTGATATAGATATTAGGAGGCCCATTGAATTGAAACCTTCTAGGGAGGGCCTCATAGATCCTAGAAAGCCCATCCTAGGAGGTCCATTGAAAAATATAAGGCCAGGGCTTGTATTAGAGTATTTACAGAAGTAATTTAAACGAAAGAATGGAATGAAACGACGTCGAGAAAAAAATTAAAAAAATTATTTTTGAGGAATTAAAAATTACAAAAATAAAGGGGAACTTGACAAGGATGTCAGGGAAGAAAAAAGATTTTAAAAAAATAAAAATAATTAAAAAATAATCCCCATTTGTTTTTAATTTTGTTTAAATAAAAATAAAAAAAAATATTTCCTTTTTGCGTCATTTTTTGTCATTATCTCCCCCCTTTTTTTATTTTTTTATAAAAAAAGATGAGACACCAACAGATAATATTCATCAATATTAGTTAATAATCATTGTTCGTCTTTTAAACGAAAAAAAAGAAGAAAATAATAAAGAGAAGAGGCAATGATTTAAAGAACAATTGAATGAACGAAGAAAAAAAAACGGGAATGTTTAAGAGAAATAAATGATTCTTCTTTTTTTTTTAGAAAAAAAAATTTAAAAGAACTCAAGTACTTGTATAATATATACTTTTAGAAAAAAGTGGAAGAAAATAAAAAATAAAATATAAATTATATATTTGTTGGAGGAAAGTGTATGTCTAGAAGAGTAAAAAAGAGAAAGTTTAAAAAGATTTTTAAAAGCTTGAAAGATTAAGGATGATTTTTAAAGGAATTTAGGTGTATTTAACTTAAAAAATATCAATTAGTGTTGTGCTTGCTTTGATTTAGTTGGTTCAAAGATCGAAATCAGGACTGGGGGACTTTAAATTGAACAATAAAATTGTTTAATACTAACTAGGGGTTGTAAAGTATTTCTTAAATAAATCTTAATTTTTTTATGATTTTTATAAAGTATTTAATGTAAGTCACTTTATTACAAAGTTATTTTCAGTAAATAAATAATTTAAATTAAAAAAGAGATTATCCGTAATTTTAACGTTTTTTATCCTAACAAAGGAGAGGCTGTCAGATGTCCGTGCAACTTCGGGATGAAATTTGGCAAAAAGATTCTCCTCCCTGTGAGAATTAGCTTAATATGGAAGTGATAAATATAGAAAAAAGTTTAGATTTTCAATTGGAAATATCTCAAAAAAATTATTTTTTAATTTTTTTAAAATTAATTTTTGATTAATTTAAAATTAAATTAATTAAACAATAAAAATTAAAGAAAGGTGTGGTGGTTACTTAAAAATAGTATAAGTAAAATAAAATAAAGAAATGACAAAGTAAATAAAAAATTTAATTAATTAATTATTTAAACAATAAAAAGAAAGAAAAATTAAATATAAAGTCAAACAAATAATAAAAATTAACTAAATTTATTTATATATTTATTTGGACTATTTACCGAACAGACAATTCACTGTTTAATATTTTTGGCTTTCTAATATGTAGATGGCAATATTTTTTTCAATTATTTTTCTGTCTTTTGAGACACTAAAAAGGTCTTTCATATCCGAAAAAAATCAAAAATATTTTTTAAACAATAAGTAGCCCAAAAAATTCCAAATTCGGTGAATTGTCTTTTCGGTGAATTACCCCACATAAACATTCCTCTTAAAATAAATTTAAATTTACCTTTTCTTCTTTTTTAATTTTTTTTCGAATCATTTTTGCGCGTTTAAATAAATAGAGAATAGATAGGAAGTGTTTGACGAATGATTTGAAAATTTTAGAAAAGGAAAAGTAAAAATGTTTAAAATTGAACGGAGAATGGACGTAAAAAGAAGAAGAGGGAGAGGGAAAGTGGGGGAAATTAATTTTAAAAAATTAATTTGGTAAAAAGGAAGAAAAGAAAGGATTTTTAGACAATTGTTTAATGAAAAGGAAATTAACAGGAAAAAAGTCTAAATAAAATAAAAATGTTAATTTATTGTATATATTTAATTAAATAATAAATCTTTAAAAATGAGGAAGTAAAAAATAAATTACTGAATATTTATTTAATTACAGTCTGATTGTAATAAGGAAATTTTTGGAAACGAAAAAAGGTAGAATAAAAGGTGTATATAAAATTGAAGGCATTTCTTAGACAGCTCCCCGCTCAATTAACTTCTAAAAAATTGTACACACAATTAGAGAGTGTACGTAAATTTGAGAGTACTTTCTAGAAACCGGACTGGGAGGGTCTTATCAAGATCTCAAAAAATATCGATCTTAATAACCGAAAATTTTCTTCGAGATTTCGTCACGGTCCGATCTCCAGTACAGTATGTTTCACAATTATAAACGCCCCCTATTTTTCTCAATATATTTCATGTCCTATTCAATTTTTCCGATAAATTATTCAAATTCTTTAAAAATAATTATAGAGAAGGATAAGCAATATTTAATACTGAAAGAGATTTTTTTAATTAATAGTAGAGACCGGATCAATACGATAAATTGATGGAAAATATCAATATATCGATACCGATATTATCGAACGATCACTGAAGTCCGGTCTCTAATTAATAGTCGTTGAATTATTTAAATTTTTTTAAATATGTAAATGCGTAGATTAGTAAAAATGTAGAAAATATTTGGAATTAAAAAGGGGAATCTGGAAATTAAAAATATTTATTTTTATTTTTATCCTTCCTATCAATTTTTTAATTAAATTAAATAATATTTTAACCGAGGGAGGGACTTGTTAATAAATAATATTTTATAAATAAAAATGTCAAATGCTCCTCTACATAACTTTGAAAAAAAGCAATTTTTAGATCATAAATAATAAATATATATTTTCTTCTAGTTTGATCCAAACACACAAAAATAACCACTCACTTTTCCTCAACTATTTTTAAATTGTCAATCAAAAAAATTTTTTTCAAAGAAAAAAATGTCCAAAATTAGTTAAAAAATAATTTTCTTTTTAATTTAATAAAAATAGAAATTATTTTTGATAAATATTTGAGAATTAGAAAAAAAGAGAGGAAATTATTTTTTTAATTGAGTTATTTTGAATTGAGCTAATTTTTGATGGAATTAAAAGAATTTTTGGGGGAAAAAGAGGAAATAAAAATTAAATATGTAGAAACAATTTTTAGTGTGTCCCAATAAAATAATTAAGAAATTAGAGAATGGATTAAGGAAAGATTTCGAAACAAAAATTTTTGGTTATCGAGATATCAATCGAAGCAAATTCTGATATTTTTGAATTTTTGGCCAGAAATTCTGAAATTATAGAATAATAAAGCAGCTAGGCTATAGTAGCTAATTCTCTCCTTTAGCTAGAGCAAAAGGTTAATCGATGGCTGGGAGCGGTCTAGCATCTTCAGTAGACTGGACTGATGTGTTAGCCATTACACCACGAAGCCTATTGCACAGTCTTAGGAATTAAATAGCTACTTATATGCTTTACAGAATCGAGATATTAATTGAGCTCATACAAGTCATGTTTTTTTTAAATAAAAGAGTTTTTTAATCTTTAAAAAAAAATTTTTTCAAAATATTTTTTAAAAAATAAAAACAAAAAATATTTTTATTTATTTTTATGCACTTTTCAAAAGCAAAAAATTCTTTTTAAAAAAAAATATATTTTTATCTTTTCATTTTTGAAAAGAATTTTTTTTTTTGAAAAAAATAAAACCAAAAAAACAGATGTTTTATCTTTCTTCCAGCCAACCTTTGTTCACATTTATAAAAATGAAAAATGAGAAGAAAAATATATAAAAACAAAAAAAAGTTGGAATATTTAAGTGGAAGAAAATAAAAATAAAAAAAGAAAAGGTTTTTAAAAAAGTTTTAAAAATAAACCTAGAAAATTTATTTAAATTAAAAAAAGATGAATGACAGAAATTAAATGAAAAAAAATATTTTTATTTAACGCCCACTAAATATTTAAAAATAATTATTACAACAAATAAATTAATAGAAAATTATATTGGTGTAATAAAAAGAAAAGGAAAGAGCTATTGGCTGTAGTTTTATCAATTTTCTGACCCCTAAGAATGAGTTTACTTCCCTTATCGTTTTTTAATTTTCGTGGATCTCTATCTCGATCAACAAGCATTTCCGCACCTATCCGCACTTTAAACGGCCATAACTCGGCCCAGAGTCATTTTGCAAGATAACGGATAACACCACAATAGTAAGTCGAAGGTCCTCTATCGAGTGGTACCAAAAAAGTACCAAATTCGACCGAATTCGCGCTTAAAGTAAAAGATGGTTCTTGTCAGCTCGACAAGTCAAATTAATTGACAATTCGACATGTTTAGTCGAATCCAATTATTTTATTTTGGGCAATTTAGATAAGGAAATTTTTACTTCAAAGAGGCTTCCTCCACAACGACATTCACCAATTTAATTTATTTATTCACTGAAAAGAACCTTATAAAAAGGCCACTAACAATCAGATATAAACGAAACATACAAAAAATTTTTAAAAAACAAAAAAACATATAGAAGATAGGCGTCAACAAACAATAGTTTTGGCTAATCTACTATAAGAATACACATCCAAAACGCATGACGCTCGACAGAGACAAAAATATTTGTGGGAGTCCTAGAAAGGAAGGGTGTAAAAATTGCGAGACGTTACACAAAATTGAAAGTTTCATCGAAAAACACCAAATTGAACAAGTTCGAACCAAATTATTAAAACATTTGAAAGAAAAGAACAAACAAAAAAACACTAATCTTTTTTCTCACTTCCTAGCTAAATCAAAAATTCAAACAAAAACAAATTCAGAAAAACAATTTTATTTACAACAAATACATAACAATACAATATTATTGGTACATTATATAGGGAAGAAATATACACAATTTATGATTATATATTTTGGGTGGTCCTATATCATCCTTCTTTTCTGTGTGTTCATCTATATCCATCGTCCCGCAGCCATACTCATGCAGCAGCCATAGGAACGTCGACCTTGAACTCGCCAGAAGATCCAGGAGGGAAGATGGCCTTGGCGTCCCCAGCATCTGGAGGAGCCCCAGCGAAGCAGATCTCGAGCTTGTCATCACCTTTTGGCGGGCCGTTCTGGCGGATCACTTCGACTTGGGCAGCGGCGCCGGGCTCCACGAATCCGAAGACGGGGTTGACTCGGTAGTGCTCGTTATTGCTGGACTTGAGCTTGAAGGCGAAGCGGACCTGAAAAAATATAAAAAATTTGATTAGAGGAATGATTTGAGAGTGAGAAAAGAAAGATGAGAAAAAAATAAATACTACCTCAGGGTTGCCGTTCATCAGCTGAAGCGAGACGTTGCCTCCCGAAGCAGGGACCTGGATAGCAGCTGGCTCGACTTGGACCGCCATTGTTGTTGTTGTGAAGATTGGTTGTTGATTGTTTGAAGAGTTGTCGTTGTAGAGTGTTGCGTTTGAACGAAATCAGTGGACTTTTATAGTTGGCTGGGTGTGTGTGATTTCTTCACAGAAATCATGATATAAAAGCTTTGTCATCATCATCGATCACCAACTCTCAACAACGACAACTCTTCAAACAATCAACAACCAATCTTCACAACAACAACAATGGCGGTCCAAGTCGAGCCAGCTGCTATCCAGGTCCCTGCTTCGGGAGGCAACGTCTCGCTTCAGCTGATGAACGGCAACCCTGAGGTAGTATTTATTTTTTTCTCATCTTTCTTTTCTCTTTCTCAAATCATTCCTATAATCAAAATCGTTCTTTTTTCTTTTTCAAAGGTCCGCTTCGCCTTCAAGCTCAAGTCCAGCAATAACGAGCACTACCGAGTCAACCCCGTCTTCGGATTCGTGGAGCCCGGCGCCGCTGCCCAAGTCGAAGTGATCCGCCAGAACGGCCCGCCAAAAGGTGATGACAAGCTCGAGATCTGCTTCGCTGGGGCTCCTCCAGATGCTGGGGACGCCAAGGCCATCTTCCCTCCTGGATCTTCTGGCGAGTTCAAGGTCGACGTTCCTATGGCTGCTGCATGAGTATGGCTGCGGGACGATGGATATAGATGAACACACAGAAAAGAAGGATGATATAGGACCACCCAAAATATATAATCATGAATTGTGTATATTTCTTCCCTATATAATGTACCAATAATATTGTATTGTTATGTATTTGTTGTAAATAAAATTGTTTTTCTGAATTTGGTTTTTTTGTTTGGGAATGAGATAAATTAAGAATTGAGCATTCCTAGGTGTTTTTGTGAACAGAATGCTTTCATTTTTTTGAGAACTCCCTCCCACACTTTCCTCTTTCCTTTTAGTTCCTTTCAAAGGAAATTTTCTGGATCGATTAGAGAGACTAGTTGAATTTATCAGAAACAATTGTTCTTCCTCCAAAAAACTTTTCATTTTACAAACTTCTCAGATTAAAATTAAAGATTAAAATTTTCCATAAATTTTTTTAAGAGAATGAGAGAGTTTGAAGGACAAAAATATTTGTTTCTTTTATTGTTGTTGTTGAAGGTCTTCCAATTATTTTTTATTTTTCCCTTTTTTCTTCTCCAATAATTAGTATATTTATTTTTCCAAATTTATCCTCTTTCCCCTAAATTTCAAAATCCAAATAATAAATAATCCTCCAAAATCCGCATAAAAAACACGAGATTGACAAAAATAGGCAATTAAAATTTCAATTTTATTGATGTTTATTTGACAAGATTTGTCGAATCCTTTCTATATTTTATTTTAAACAAAATTTCTAACTAAATATTTATTAAACTAAAAATTTCTTAAAATTTTCCCTATTAGTTTCAATTTTTTAGTTACCTCAGACTTAATTACCCAAGTTTAAGTTATCCAAGTTTAGGTAATTCATCCTATTCCCCTAAATTTATAATCGTTTTACAAATGTTCATCAGAACAGATCAGTGTATCTAGTCAAAAACTTTATATCCATCCCATTTCCATAAAAGTGCCTATTTTTTCTTATTTTACTGGTCGCTTACAAAAAGTGTTTTGGACTCTATAAGAAATTTATTTATTTATTTATTTATCAACATAAAAAAAAATGTCATCGAAAGGGCGTGCCACTTAATTCGACAACAATGTCGTAGCGTGGCACAATAAAAATAATAAAATAAGAAACAGCATATAAAGTCATAATAAATTAAAAAAAAAAACACAAATTTAATATTATAATTGATTTATTCTTTAAATAAATATACTCCATACCGACCATTTTAACTAAATAGGATGCTTTAAATTTATGAAGCTAGAGGAAAGTGTACTGATTTAATTATCTTAAATTGTCAAAATTTAAAAAAAAAAAATAATTTCCTCTACAATTTTGCTGCGTTTTTCGTTGTTTGTCATGTTTGCTGCAAAATTTAATGGAGAAAATTCAGAAGAATTGCGCTTAGACATTGTAGTCAAACAATATTACCCAATTGTTTTAAATTTTTCAAAAGTCCTTAAAAATGAAAAATTGATTTAAAAGAGATAAAAGGGCAAAAATAAAAATTAAGAGAAATGAAAAACTATGTTTTTAATTTAATGAGTCATCAAAGGAAAAATAGTATAGTTGAGTAAGAAACAATAGGATAAATTGTCATTTAGATGTATTTTTGAACATAATGCCAAACAATAAAATTTATTTATTAATTTGAAATTTCCTTATTCAAATATGCAAAATAGTAGTCATTTAAATATAGTTAAAAACCGAGAATGTGAGAGAGAAAGAAAAAAAAAAAAACATAGAAAAGAAAAAAAAAAATTTTTTTTAGATTATACCAATAAAAACAGATTTGTTTAGATCTATTGAATAAGTATTTCTTTTACTTTATTTTTAAAACTAGGGGTTATTTTTGTAGTTCTAATTTCATCATTTAAAACGTTCCACATCTTAGTTACCCTATTAACAAATGAGTTAGATGATTTAGAATTTTGATTTTTAGATAATAGGTAACATTTTTTTCTATTTGATATTTTAAAAAGATTGTCGGATTCCAGATGTGTATATCCATGTAAAATTTTATGAGCTAAGACTAGATCATAAGTCTTACGACGGTTTTCCAAGGATGGAAGATTAAGAAATTCTAATCTTTGTAAGTATGGTATATAAGGCAGTGAGCATTTTCTAAGAAGGACTTTTGTAAAGAATTTCTGGCATTTTTCAATTTTGTTAACTTCAGATCTTTGTTGTGGATTCCAAGTTTCAGGAGAATACTCTAGCAAAGGTCTTATGTAACTTTTATAGATAGTAAGCCAAGTTTTAGTAGATTTTGACTTAATTATTTTAAACACGAAATTCATTTTTATATACGCTATTCTGATAATTTTTTGTATATGTTCCTTAAATTTAAGCTTATTATCTATTATGATGCCTAGATCTCGTATTGAATCAACCTCATTTATAGTTGTATCAAAAATCTTATATTGATCTTTCGGGTTATTTTTACCAAGATAAATTATATATGTTTTATTTATAGCTATATTTAATTTCCATTTGGTTGTCCACTGTTCAATATTTTCAATAGCATTAATAAGCATTCTTCTTTCATTTTTAGTTTTATGTATAACATATACTTTAACATCATCGGCAAAAAGTTTAATTTTTACACCTTTTGGGATTATATCAGGTAAATCATTAATATAAATCAAAAATAATAACGGGCCTAAAACTGATCCTTGAGGTACACCTGATTTAATATTTCTAGGTTCAGATAACGTATTGTTAATTTTGACTCTAAAAGTTCTGTTCGAAAGAAAAGCTGAAATCCAACTTAAAATTTTTCCTCTTATACCTATTCTATATAATTTATTGATTAACAGGTCATGTGGTACTGAATCAAATGCCTTCTTAAAATCAATATATATACAGTCAATATTCTTTTTTCCCATTATTGCATCATACCAATCTTATAATGTAGTGATTAGTTGTGTCGTAGTTCGACTTGGGCAGCGGCGCCGGGCTCCACGAATCCGAAGACGGGGTTGACTCGGTAGTGCTCGTTATTGCTGGACTTGAGCTTGAAGGCGAAGCGGACCTGAAAAAATATAAAAAATTTGATTAGAGGAATGATTTGAGAGTGAGAAAAGAAAGATGAGAAAAAAATAAATACTACCTCAGGGTTGCCGTTCATCAGCTGAAGCGAGACGTTGCCTCCCGAAGCAGGGACCTGGATAGCAGCTGGCTCGACTTGGACCGCCATTGTTGTTGTTGTGAAGATTGGTTGTTGATTGTTTGAAGAGTTGTCGTTGTAGAGTGTTGCGTTTGAACGAAATCAGTGGACTTTTATAGTTGGCTGGGTGTGTGTGATTTCTTCACAGAAATCATGATATAAAAGCTTTGTCATCATCATCGATCACCAACTCTCAACAACGACAACTCTTCAAACAATCAACAACCAATCTTCACAACAACAACAATGGCGGTCCAAGTCGAGCCAGCTGCTATCCAGGTCCCTGCTTCGGGAGGCAACGTCTCGCTTCAGCTGATGAACGGCAACCCTGAGGTAGTATTTATTTTTTTCTCATCTTTCTTTTCTCTTTCTCAAATCATTCCTATAATCAAAATCGTTCTTTTTTCTTTTTCAAAGGTCCGCTTCGCCTTCAAGCTCAAGTCCAGCAATAACGAGCACTACCGAGTCAACCCCGTCTTCGGATTCGTGGAGCCCGGCGCCGCTGCCCAAGTCGAAGTGATCCGCCAGAACGGCCCGCCAAAAGGTGATGACAAGCTCGAGATCTGCTTCGCTGGGGCTCCTCCAGATGCTGGGGACGCCAAGGCCATCTTCCCTCCTGGATCTTCTGGCGAGTTCAAGGTCGACGTTCCTATGGCTGCTGCATGAGTATGGCTGCGGGACGATGGATATAGATGAACACACAGAAAAGAAGGATGATATAGGACCACCCAAAATATATAATCATGAATTGTGTATATTTCTTCCCTATATAATGTACCAATAATATTGTATTGTTATGTATTTGTTGTAAATAAAATTGTTTTTCTGAATTTGGTTTTTTTGTTTGGGAATGAGATAAATTAAGAATTGAGCATTCCTAGGTGTTTTTGTGAACAGAATGCTTTCATTTTTTTGAGAACTCCCTCCCACACTTTCCTCTTTCCTTTTAGTTCCTTTCAAAGGAAATTTTCTGGATCGATTAGAGAGACTAGTTGAATTTATCAGAAACAATTGTTCTTCCTCCAAAAAACTTTTCATTTTACAAACTTCTCAGATTAAAATTAAAGATTAAAATTTTCCATAAATTTTTTTAAGAGAATGAGAGAGTTTGAAGGACAAAAATATTTGTTTCTTTTATTGTTGTTGTTGAAGGTCTTCCAATTATTTTTTATTTTTCCCTTTTTTCTTCTCCAATAATTAGTATATTTATTTTTCCAAATTTATCCTCTTTCCCCTAAATTTCAAAATCCAAATAATAAATAATCCTCCAAAATCCGCATAAAAAACACGAGATTGACAAAAATAGGCAATTAAAATTTCAATTTTATTGATGTTTATTTGACAAGATTTGTCGAATCCTTTCTATATTTTATTTTAAACAAAATTTCTAACTAAATATTTATTAAACTAAAAATTTCTTAAAATTTTCCCTATTAGTTTCAATTTTTTAGTTACCTCAGACTTAATTACCCAAGTTTAAGTTATCCAAGTTTAGGTAATTCATCCTATTCCCCTAAATTTATAATCGTTTTACAAATGTTCATCAGAACAGATCAGTGTATCTAGTCAAAAACTTTATATCCATCCCATTTCCATAAAAGTGCCTATTTTTTCTTATTTTACTGGTCGCTTACAAAAAGTGTTTTGGACTCTATAAGAAATTAGACTATGTTTATGGATACAGAAATTTTTAAAAAATTTTAAAATTCCTTTCCCTGTCATGGCATTTGGATCACAAAAAAGTTTCCTTATTAGAACGTGGAGAAATAAAAAGATAATTTTTTTAAACATTTTTAAGAAAAAAATGTCATCATCATCACCAACTTTCTTTTTATTAATTATTTTAAATTTATCGTCTATATCTGCTGAAAGATGTGATATTATAGTCCATGTTAAATCAATGACTGACACCCCATTTAATGCTAAAGTAATTGCTCCGAGTGGGCAGTCTAGTGAAATGTTTGGAATTTTTTTTGATTAAAAAATAAATTTTTGAAAAGGTGGAAATTTACAAAAAATCGTCAAAAAGAAACTTTCCATCCTGTTGTGAATGGAACGGGGGATTGCACAACAGGGCATTGGGAAATACAAACATTTGACAAAAATGGAGGTTCTAAGGCAACAGAAAAGGTGAAAGAAGTATTTGAGAAAATTTTTCAAAGATCCTTTTAGGTCTCTCTAAGCGGAACAGGCCGTGTTCTCTACGAAGTAAAAGACAATCTTTTACCAATACAAAGTGAACGTCAAGGTGCTGTTTGTGATGAGGGAAAATGTGCAGCTCTAGGACATCTTCCGAATACTCCTAAACCGAAGAATAATTCTTCAAATTAAAAATATTTTTTAAATAAAAATTTAATCTTCCCTCTAATTCTTTTTTGAAAGACAATTCGTTAATATACAACGTTAATAAAATTTCCAAAATTATTATTTTATGTCCAATTTTTAATAAAAAATACATAATTATGAAAATCACTCTTCTCTCCTATTTTTAAAAAATTAAAAAAAATTTTTTTCATTTACATTTTTTAATAAAAATATTTTATGTAATAATAATATAGGGTAAAAATTAGCAAAGATTTTTATAAGCTGAAAAAAAACCGCAAAATTAATTTTAAAAAATTTTTGCCATTTTTAAAGAAAAAATCAATCAATCAATCACGCCTTCATAAACAAAACAAAAAATAATTTTAATATTTTTTAAATACGGATGGGGCTTGGGTCGATCACAAAAAAGGAAAACAATCTTCATAGTTAGTCTATATATCATATAAAATCATCCACTTTTCTTTCCAATTCTCTCCCCATAACTAAAAATGGTATTAAAGAATATTTTTTTAATATTTTTGAGAATATATTCGGATCTCGATCGTACTTACATCATTGGGAACAAAAAGTGAAAGTATCAAAGCTAAGGTGAAAGTAAATGGAGGTATTGCTTATATTAGGCAGCTTTCTATAAACTTTTCGAAAAAAATATTTAAAATTACCCACCCCCTATTGGCTTAAAATCAACTTAAAAATTGTATACACAATAGAAAATAAATTGGGTGTATGTTCTACAATTCGATTCTAAATTCTAAAATTCGTATAAACTCAAACGATTTCAAAAAAGATTTAAAATTACTCTCTCATATTGAGTAATCAATTAATTTCTATTTAAGAAAAAGCTAAAACGGGAACTGAAAAAATTTTTTTAATCTAAATTTTTGCCTAACCATTAAAAACTCCTATATATTAACTAGTCTGTTCATTAAGAAATAAAAAATTTTAAAAATATTCTCACCAAAATTTTTTTGATCAAATCTTTCTGCGCGGGCGTTTTCTGACAGGTGCACGAGAATCCTCCTCAGCCTGTGCTTGTTGCGTTGGTTGGGGATTTGAAGAAGAGCTGCTAGTACTTGCATTGTTTTCGACGTTGTTGGCGTTGGTAGTTGAAGATGAAGTTGTTGGAGTTGAAAGAGCTGATGATGATGTTGGACAAACTTGAGAAGGCTGTGAAGCATAAAGTAGCGAGGAAGAGGCTTTAAAAAGTTTTTTTTTAATTAAAAATAATTGAGAACCTGCTGTAGAATTAGACACTGACGGTAATGACGATGAAGTAGAAGTTCCACCACTTGTATTTAATGAAAATGAGGCTAAAGCAGAAGTAGAATTATTGCGAGATATATTGCTGCTAGGCGAGAAGACACCAACGCCGTAAAGATTTGCTGGGGCTGTAAAAGAATTAATAATTATTATATTATAGTGGGCAGTTTTGATTTTTGGGTATGGATTAGGAAAAAACAAAAGAAAACTAGGGAGGGGCTAAAAGATTAAGAAAAAATTAAAAAAAGATCTTCCAAAATTATATTAAATGAAAAGTTAGACAGAATAAAAAAAGCTATTCATCGGAAAAATGGATTTATTTATTTACGCCATGATGGCGCGAGTAAGGCCAAAAAACAAAAAATTAAAAAATGAAATCATGACAATAAATTTAAAAAAAAACAAAAAATATTCACTCACAATCAGCCCTAAAATGACTAAATGTAAACGAGTCTCTAAAAGAAAATTAGGAAAAAAGAAAGAGAAAGCAAAGATTATTTCCCCTTTTAGGATTCCAAAAAAAAATTCAAAAACTTACTACTCATACTTAAACTGCTACCAGTACTTCCTCCACCTCCACTTCCACCAGTACTACCAGCACCTCCTCCACCAGTACTTGGTTCTGTAGTCCCTCCAGTTTCAAAACTGCTACTCAAATCAATCCCTTCACTCCCATTTTGATCTAGCACAGCTTCTAACAATTCATTTGCAAGTTGTCCTCTAACAGCTTTCAATTCTTTCCATTCAGGACTTCTCAAAAATGTTTTGTGATTTGAAGAAATGTATTTAATACAGGCCTGGGAATTTATTTATTTTTTGAATTTTTAAAATAAACCTTTTTTAAATAAGATCCAAAATATGTATCAGCAATTAGGCAGAGATTAGCAATATTTTTAGCACCTAAAAAATTAAAAAAATTAAGATTTTTAAAAAGGTTCAATCTAATTCTAAAATCATGGGAATGAGAAATAAAAATCCAAACGCCTAAAAGAATAAAACTCCGCTTTATTTCAGACCCGTAAATCTTCAAGGTACTTGCCTCGAGAAATAAAATCGAAAATTCTCGTTCGCAGAAAATTATATTTGGTGCAGGTCCTGGGAAAATTTTTAGAGATATACGGTATCAAAACCAAAAATTTTCGATACCCTAAAAGTTCCGTATAAATAACCCTAAAAGACTTCTCTATGTGCCATTAACTAAAAATATTAAAGCAATTAAAGTTTTTACAAATAATCGAAGTCATATAACGTTCACATTGTTCCTTCAACGGCATTACAGCATATTTATCAGCTATAGCGAGAATGCCTTCCGCAAAATTTTCCAAAGCACCTAAATTAATTAACACAGAATAAAATTCTCTATTAGTTATTTACAAACTTTTGTCCACTGAACCCGTGTAAATAAATTGAAGCATGGCACGAACATATTCAGGACGAGAATCTGTTATGCTAATTTGCCCCTAATAAATAAATATTTAAAAGAAATAAAAATTTTAAATCAAACATTTTGAGCCTCCAACATCGACTTTTGCGCAAACATTGAACGGAAAACAACGCTGTGTTGTGCAAGAATACATCTGTGAGCATTCATTCGTGCACTTCCAACCTAATAAAAAATAGTTTGCAATTTTTCAAAATATATGGGCCGAGTCAGCTGCTATATGTATTATCCAAAAATATTAAGAAAAGAAAAGTGAGTCCAAAGTACTGAAACTTTGACCAGCTATAACTTTACGAAATGGGGGTCAGGGCCAAAAAGGCCAAAAATTGGCAATAGATTATCGACTACACTCCACATGATAGTACAAAAATATATACAAAATTTTCGCACACAGTTCGTGAGAGTCCTTGTAAGTCACCAGAACATGTAAACCCGTAAAGCCTAGAACCACTGCTAGACTATAATAAAGTCCGTACAAAAAATACCTGAATAATACAATCAGTAAAAGTCTCTTGCTGCCACATTTCTCTCAACGATTCCTGCACCCAAACGGAGGAATCCATATTTGCTTCTTCCACAATTTCATCATCTTCTTTTTCCACATTTAATTTTATGCCAGGAGGAAGAAATTCGACTTCGCAAAATAACAATAAAGAACCTAAATATAAATTTTTTAAAAGGCTGAAAAAATTCAATATACCATCCGGACGTAGAGCTGTCAACATTTTGTCTCGTTGTACTTGAAATTTCCCACGGCCTTGTTGATTTGAAAAATCCTTTGTATCTCTAAAATGATTTAAAAGAATTTTGTTTCAATTTCAAAATAACCTGCAAACACTAATACGACAATCACTAGCATCCAAAGCATAAATTTGAAATTCGGTCATTACAGGATCTTCCCCACGTTGAAGGCCCACTTGGCGAAGAAAAAAAGAAACATCTAAAAATATAAAGTTAACAAAGGAATAAATTTATAAAATTAACTATTAACATCCTCCTCTCTCTTTCCATTTGGATAAACATGTAATTCCCAAATTACAGATGGACAGGTTGAACAAGCGAACTGTTTGCCTGGAAACAAAAGTATATAGTAATGATTTAATCGAAAGACGTTGAGCGTGGATTAGGAAAAATTGGAAGTTGTACCCATGTCCGTAACCAGGAAATTCAAAAATGATTCCCTCTCCCATCGTATAAAAATCTTAGTTAAAGGACATCTTACAAGGAAAAATTGCGAGGTGTCCGAGCTAAGAACGGTCGAGACCGGGCTCATTCGATAGAGAATGTGCCCTTTCTAACAAGGATTTTGTGCCGTTTTTGCCCGTTATTTGATCTAGCCAAGATATGGCCACCAAATTCCCAAAATTTGGCTCGCTCCTTTAAAAATCTAGTTAAAGGAACAGCTTATTGTTGATAACATATAAACAATTCATTCTCTTCTTAAACTAACTTATCAGATTTTGCCCATTCTTCATCAACTTCATTAACTTTTCAAAATGATCAATTCTCCATTCCAGACGAGAGGAGACAGCAGCGACCTTTAAATTTTTCAAAGTTTAATTTTCACCAAAATTTTAAATACCCTTGTAGTCTGCTTAGAAACCATTATTTCAAGACGTCTAGAAGTTCGATTTAAAGAATTAGGTGTTGATTCAATAATTCGCATAAATCTGACTGGTGGATAACGCAAATTTCCACTTTGCATGTTACGAAAATAATCTAAAAAGAGTTTAAAGAAAATTAAAACTTGCAACAAACAAAAAGAAAAATTCCAAGATTAGCAAAACATGAGGAAAATCTGAAAGAAAAATCATTTTTAATTTTTTGGTCTTTCGTATTATTCACTTTAAAAATTAAATTTTCTTTTTTTCTTTTTCTCTTAATTTTCTGCAGTCTTTTCATTTTTCATCATTTTTAAAAAAATTTTGTGAAATTTTCTTCGAATTTCTTTTTATTTTGAAAAATTTTCTTGATAGGCTTCTTGATAAATTTATTATATTTTTTTGTCGGGCTAACTCAAGGAACGGACAAGAAACGACAAGTCAAGGAAAAGACAAATCAAGGAAACTCATGGATCGTTCCTTGACCTGTCTGTTCCTTGACTTGTCTGTTCCTTGAGTTGGTATGTTTTTGAGTTGGTGTTTTTGAGCTGGTCTTTCCTTAACAGGTACTTATAGGGTTTGTATCCGCTGGAAAAAAGTAATTGCTTTTTTGTAAAAATGGTCAGTGTAAAAAATGTGTTAGGCAGGCAATCACATCATTTTTTCCTTCCATACTTTTAAAAAATTTGCCTGTGGTCACTTTCATTCACTCACTCTTCCTTCAATTCGGCAATTCTTTTGTTTTCGATTGCCTGCCTAACACATTTTTTACACTGACCATTTTTACAAAAAAGCAATTACTTTTTTCCAGCGGATACAAACCCTATAAGTACCCCTTGACATGTCGTTTTTTGAGTTGTCTGTTCCTTGATTTGGAATTCCTTGAGTTGCCCCTCACCCATAAATTCCTTCTTTGTTAATTTATATTTTAGAGACACTATTTATTAAGTAAAATATCTCAATATTTTCAATGGGAAATCAACAATTTCAACAACAAAAGCCAGGTTCAGGAGATAAACAAGGAGAGGGAGACAAGGTTTCTTTGAAATATTATTTGTACTTAAACCAATTTTTTGAAGAAGCGCCGTTTTGGGCCTCCAATCCCAACACGTTTTGGGAAGCGAAAGAAGGGAAGTAAAGGACCTGAAGCTAGCAATAAAATGCCTAATGTGACACCAGTAACTCGTTGCAAATTGCGTCTTCTTAAATATGAACGGATTAAAGATTATTTGTTAATGGAAGAAGAATTTATTCGAAATCAGGAAAGACATAAACCTCAAGAAGAAAGGCAGGAAGAAGAACGGACAAAAGTTGATGAGATGAGAGGGTCACCAATGGCTGTGGGTACTTTGGAGGAGATTATTGACGATCAACACGCTGTTGTTTCGACGGTTTGATTTTTTCTAGAAAGTAGAACGGTAATATGTATTGAACCTGGCAGACCCCATTTTTCCTCCCCAAGTTTCTTCCTATACCTATATTTGTAGAATGGTCAGACTTTTTCTTCAATTTTTCTTACTTCCATCCAAGTGGAATAAATATTAATTTCTTTTGATTGTTTGTAGGTAAAATATAGAAGGGAAATTGGGATGGAAAGGAATAAAAAGGAAAAAGTCTGGCCATTCTATAGATATATAGGAAAAAACTGGGGAGGAAGAAATGGGTTCTGTCAGGTTCAATATTACTAATAGAACTGAACTGTTTTTAATATTCAAGTTTTCCAACTTTTAGAATGTTGGCAGCGAACATTATGTTAACATTCTTTCATTTGTGGACAAGGAACAATTGGAGGTATTTTAAAATTTAATTTTGTAAATTTCCTTTTATTTTTTTAGCCAGGCTGTGCAGTTCTTCTAAATCACAAAACACATGCAGTTGTTGGTGTTTTGGCTGATGACACGGATCCAATGGTTTCTGTAATGAAATTGGAAAAGGCTCCGACTGAAACATACGCTGATGTTGGCGGTTTGGAGCAACAAATTCAAGAAATTAAGGAGGCAGTAGAGTTACCACTTACACATCCAGAGTATTCTAACTTTTTATTTGACCTTAAATACAAATTTAAAGGTACTACGAAGAAATTGGAATTAAACCTCCAAAAGGAGTTATTCTCTACGGCCCACCTGGCACAGGCAAAACATTGCTAGCTAAAGCTGTTGCTAATCAAACGTCTGCCACATTTTTGCGTGTTGTTGGCTCTGAGCTTATTCAAAAATATTTGGGAGATGGGCCTAAAATGGTTAGAGAGTTGTTTCGTGTTGCTGAAGAACACGCGCCGGTAAATTTTTGAGAATTGATTAAAGGAGTTTAAAGAAATATTTATAATTATTTTTATAGAATTTTTTATTTTTACAATTAACCAAAATTTTCTTTTAGTCAATTGTTTTCATCGACGAAATTGACGCCATTGGCACAAAACGTTACGAATCCAATTCTGGTGGAGAACGCGAAATTCAGCGTACTATGCTTGAATTGCTTAATCAACTGGATGGTTTTGATTCTCGTGGGGATGTTAAGGTAAACGGAAGATTTTCTTGTAATTAAAAAATTTCTTCAAAGATTATTTAATTTCAGGTTTTAATGGCCACAAATCGAATCGATTCATTAGATCCAGCGCTTATTCGCCCTGGCCGTATCGATAGAAAAATTGAATTTCCACTTCCTGATGAAAAAACTAAAAGACGAATTTTTGGCATTCACACAGCCCGTATGCAATTGGAAAATGTTAATTTGGAGGAATTTATTGAGGCAAAGGATGACCTTTCGGGAGCTGATGTTAAAGCAGTTTGTACCGAGGCAGGACTTTTGGCACTTCGAGATCGTCGAATGCGTGTTACTATGGTGAGGGGATTTTTAATTTCACTTTAAAGATTCGTTGTTGACACTATTGAATTTAAGTCCTTTTATGGCGATGATAAGGGAAGACCGGTGGAGGGTCGTTGATGGACGGGATTGATTGAATTTTTGGAACTATTAACTTTTTTATTCTGTTTTCAGTCTAGTTTAGACCCAGAGCTTAAGAAATCATTTAAAATAAAATTAGAAAACTGGTTAAAAATCAAAAAAATATTACAAAGAAAATCCATAATTTAATTAAAAATTAAATTCATTTTAAAGGAGGACATGAGAAAAGCTAAAGAGAATGTTCTCTATAGAAAGAAAGATGGAGCACCAGAGTCGATGTATCTTTGATTTGATGTTTCTTGTATTATTTGTTTTTTGGGTGGTTGAATAAAATATTCTTTGAATTTTTAAATTTTTTTATTGTTTTTATACGATTATTATTTTTTAAATTTTTGTTAATTTTTATTTCTTATTTTTAGAGAAGAATGTTTTACCATTTATCGTTAGAACATGAAATTCAACTTCACCCAAAATATTTTGGTCAAAGTTTAATGGAAACTGTCAAGCAAAAATTATTTAGTGAAGTAGAAGGAACTTGTACAGGCAAATATGGATTTGTTATTGCTGTTACTACAATTGATACAATTGGACATGGAATGATTCAACCAGGTTAATTTAAAAAGAATTTTAAAGTTTGGCGGGGCATAGCGTTTATCCTTTCGTAATGATTAGTGTTTGAAAATTTAAAATTTGTTCGGTCTTATACTCTTACTCTTGTACACATGGTCGAGTTTGAATTTTGATACGAGCTCCATTCACTTGTCGTTTCTGAAAATTTGGATTTGTGGTAACAGAGTCCCAAGTCTTACATCCACTTTTGTGTTTATCTCTGAATTTTATATTTCATGGTTTTTAAGTCTTATCAAAAGGGTTCAATATTCTGTCCTCCAATTCTATTCAGAAAATTATTGCCGAATTCTAAATAATTTTTATTTTTAAAGGAAGAGGCTTCGTCACATTTCCAGTCAAATACAAAGCTATTGTTTTTCGTCCATTTAAAGGTCAAGTGATGGATGCTGTTGTTAATCAAGTTAATAAAGTAAATAAATTTTATTTTTAATTTAAAATAAAAGGGAAAACTTATTCTTATTGTTAGTAAATGAGAATGTTAAAATTTGGAGAAATTTAAAAATACTTTTTAAAACATTTTTCCATTTCTAATCGTTTTTACTAGGATTAAACAAAACCGGTACCCTTCCCTAACCCCATTTTCCGGTTAATCCGAATTTAATAAATCTGTTCACGGTTTTGGACTGATTTTCATTAAAATTTTCATAAAGTGGTTAATTTGTGGCAAAAAATATCAAACTTTTAGTTTGTATAATCGCTCTTATCCAATCCTTTTACCTTTGGAAGTAATACTTTTTAAAATCCTAACATATTTCTTTATAAAATCTTTTAAAAAGGTTGGCATTTTCTGTGACATTGGCCCTCTAAGTTGCTTCATTTCGCGTCATTGTATACCTCCTGATATGGATTTTGAGCCAAACAACATTCCACCATGTTATAAAAATCAAGAAGAAACAATTGTTATTAAACAGGATGATGAGGTTTTTTAAAAATTCTTTAATCCAAAAATTTTATTTTTAAAGATTCGATTAAAAATTATTGGAATTAGGGTTGATGCTACAGATATTTTTGCTATTGGAACTTTAATGGATGATTATTTGGGGTTGTCTTCTGCTGACTAGAAAAAAGAAAGAGTAAAAGGCTAGTATTTTTGTTTTGATCTCTTTAAATATTTTTTTTTAATTTAATAAGAGATATTCTAAGAGAAGGTGATATTTAGTAAATAAGGGAAGTATCTTTGAGAGATTCTAATAAAAAAATATAGAGGACATTGAGATGACAAAGTAATTGATTTGAGGGAGAAAGAAAATTGTGTTGATTTAATTAAGTGTAAGTGATATAATATTCTGCTAGGTATTTTTTCTTCTACAAATATATGGGATATATGGGGGGGGGGGAGGGAGGGGAGCTTACTTCCTTCTAACTTTTTTAGTTTCTTTTAATCTGTGTTCTTCTTCAGGTTTTTTAATTAAATTCTTTAATTTGACCAAAATTTGTTGAATCCATAAAAAGTAATTTTTCTTCTATAAAAATATGTCCAACAATATTTGTAACGAAATCTTTTGGAGTTTTTTTCGAAAAAAACCAAGAATTGTCCATAACTATCTTAAAGAAAAATAAATTTAAAATTATCAGAAACTAAAAAACTAACTTTAGTAGCCGTTTCTTTATCAGGAATGTCTTTGTAAGGTTCTTGACCTTCAAAAATTTCAAAACATAAGACTCCAAAACTCCATACATCTGTTTTTTTTTTGAAAGAATTTTTTTGTGGATTGTTTCTGGAGCCAGATATTTATATGCTAATTTTTCTCCTTTTGTTGTGTTAATAAAATCTTGGTCTTTTGGCAGCATTCGGGAGGTACCAAAATCAGAAATTTTTATTTGTAAGTCTCCATTTAGAAGGCAATTCCTTGCTGCGAGATCACAATGGAGTATATGATTTTCATGTAGATAATTTAATCCATTGGTGGCATCCAGAATAAATTTCAATTTAGTCTGATTATTCAAGTTTTGGTTTTTTTTTCAAATAGTCAAAAAGTGATCCCTTCGGACAGTATTCAGTTACTAATAGAATTGGATATTTGTCAAGTGTAATACAATATAAAATTAATTTTTAGGTTTTTAAGGTGAAATAAGAAAAGAAAATATTTGTTTAATGGCAAGAAATACTTTTAAAATGGCGATCCAAAACTCTAGAAATTTTCTAAAGATAAACCAAAACTTTTCAAAAGTGTTAGGATTGTTCTTGATATTTTCTATTTAAAAATCATACCAATTAATCTAACAATATTCTCGTGGAATAGAGTTTTCATTATTGGTTTATCTTTAGAAAATTTCTAGAGTTTTGGATCGCCATTTTAAAAGTATTTCTTGCCATTAAACAAATATTTTCTTTTCTTATTTCACCTTAAAAACCTAAAAATTAATTTTATATTGTATTACACTTGACAAATATCCAATTCTATTAGTAACTGAATACTGTCCGAAGGGATCACTTTTTGACTATTTGAAAAAAAAACCAAAACTTGAATAATCAGACTAAATTGAAATTTATTCTGGATGCCACCAATGGATTAAATTATCTACATGAAAATCATATACTCCATTGTGATCTCGCAGCAAGGAATTGCCTTCTAAATGGAGACTTACAAATAAAAATTTCTGATTTTGGTACCTCCCGAATGCTGCCAAAAGACCAAGATTTTATTAACACAACAAAAGGAGAAAAATTAGCATATAAATATCTGGCTCCAGAAACAATCCACAAAAAAATTCTTTCAAAAAAAAAACAGATGTATGGAGTTTTGGAGTCTTATGTTTTGAAATTTTTGAAGGTCAAGAACCTTACAAAGACATTCCTGATAAAGAAACGGCTACTAAAGTTAGTTTTTTAGTTTCTGATAATTTTAAATTTATTTTTCTTTTAGATAGTTATGGACAATTCTTGGTTTTTTTCGAAAAAAACTCCAAAAGATTTCGTTACAAATATTGTTGGACATATTTTTATAGAAGAAAAATTACTTTTTATGGATTCAACAAATTTTGGTCAAATTAAAGAATTTAATTAAAAAACCTGAAGAAGAACACAGATTAAAAGAAACTAAAAAAGTTAGAAGGAAGTAAGCAGAGTATTTATTAAATTATTTAATTAAATCATCACAATTTTCTTTCTGTCCTCAAATCATTTACTTTATCTCAATGTTTTCTATATTTTTTATTAAGATCTCTCAAGGATACAAATCTTTTTATTAAACATCTCTTTTTCTTGGAATATCTCTTTTATTAAACAATTTCTCTCTTAAAAAATTATAAAAATACAAAATATTTACAAATAAACAATTTTTTCTTGAAAGTTTTTTAACAATTTCTTTTAAAATTTTGTTTTCCTCTCTATAAAATAGAGGTGGATAGAATAGAGGTAGAAAAGGTACACAAACTTTTTGATCAATTTTCAAATTCCAAAATTATAACAAACCCTCAAATTAATGAAAATTGTGAACAAGAATAGAGACACATTAATTACCGGATCGGGACGAGAATCTCGATTAGAAATATCGATACTTTTTTCGAGACATCGATATAGACTTACAATTATTTTGTTATCACAAGGAAACATAGTCTACTGTCTACAAGAATTTTTTAATTTTTTGGTACCATTCGATAGAGGATCATAGACTCCCTATTGCTTATTCTTTATTGACACAACTATAATTATTCACTAGTTGAAACTAAATTGAGCAAATCAGGATAAGAAATAATAAGATCATAGTATGCCTAGGAATAAATTAAACTAGAGATTCTTCCAGGATTTTTTTTGCAAAATGGAGGGCGAAGAGGTGGCAATGTAAAAATGGAGGAAACGGGGCGAAAAAGTCAAATTTTGAATGCTTCCTAAAAGTTGTAAAAAAGCCACCCTGGCCCAATGCAATAATTAATTTTGCTTCAATTGATAAACAAAAATTAATAAAAATTTATTTTTTTCAAATGTGTTTTGTTTTACATGATTTATGATGTCTTATTCTATTTTTATTTACTGTTCAAAATTAAAAAATAAATTGATTGGATAAGGGGGGAGGGGGGGGGGGGAGAGCATGTCGGCACTTTTTTTTATGTAGTAGATTTGACCTTTAAGCGATTTCTTAATTTTATTTGAATTTGCCGAAAAGTTCTTTATCATTTACTCATAAATAAAAAATAATTTTATTTAAGTCTGGCATTAGAAAGGCATTTTAACAAAAAAATTTTTTTAATAACACCATTCATTTAAATAAAAATTATTAAAAATTAATTATGTGAAGCGAATTAAAAAAATTATATTCTCCAAATGTCATTATTATAAGGCCAGATAACCATAAAGATAAAGCAAAAATGAAAACGATCTGTCAGTTGTTGGTTGCATGCCTGAGTGATTAACATCGACTTTGCATAGGAGACCTTAGGACCAAGTTCAAACTAATATTTTGCTATTTTCTAGGATGTGTTGGGTCTCTTTACTATACTATTTTGTGGTACTCCTCTAACAAATAAGAGAGAATTTCTTTGAAAAACCTTTGGAAACTTTCTTCTCTTATAAAATTTTTTTAATAATTTAGACAAAAAAACAAAAACAAAAAAATGTTCAAAACTTCTATTCCCATTCTTCTTTTTATTTTCCTTTGTATTATTTCAATTGTCAAAAGCGACGATAAAAATTTCAAGTTCAAAATTATTTCCGTAGATGATAAACTTTTTTGTGTTCATATAACATGTGCTCGTTTAAATTCACCAACTCGTCAACAAAAAATAATTAAAGACACATCACAAAATACTATTGTTTTCGAAGTTTTAAGCAATTTATATTCAAATCCTATAAAAATGCCTGGCGATTGCAATCCTCTAATTAAGCTGAAATTTTATATAACACCTCGTATCGTTTTACCTGGCACTGAATACTGTGAAGCAGATGGAGTGAATGGACCAGCGGATAAATTCGACAAATGGGTTTATTTTTAGTTTTTAAAAGATTAATAGTTACTGTAAATTACAATTAGAGGTCGATATAGTCTTTTAAGTATTACGCCCTTTCATAATTCGTTCGACAATTAGGCCTGAGGGCGAAATCTTATCTAGATTCTATTATAACTTAAGACCCGGGCTTTGATTTTTCGTAGTTTCTGAATGGGCTTCTATTAGAGAGATGGGCTTAAATTAGGGTATATAAAAGATAAAATTGGTTTTTACTCAATATTTATAGACGCTTTATGAGGAAAAAGTTGGAAATGGAACTGTTAATATTACCATTTAAAAACTGAAGACATGTTGAAATCTAATGTAGTATTAAAGGATTTAAAAAAATGTTGACGTAGACAAATTCTAAAAAAGAATTTACAAAAAAAAGTCCACTATGTGGATGCTAAATATATTCAATTTAAAAAGAAAAGATTTAAATTATTAAATTATTTTTAGTATGTATAAATGTTAAAATTTTAGTTGATAAAAAATTTAAAGAGTTTATCGCTTTTATCTTTTCAAATTAGTAGGTAGAGTTAAAAATAGGAGGTCCAGGCTATCTAAGAATGGGATACCTCACTTTTATGAATTTTTGGTAAGCAAGTCCCTCGGTAATACGCCCCCCTTTTTTTTCCCGTTTCCCTGACCGTTTGATCTGGAAATCTTACAGAGGGGGGTAATGGTTTGGAAGTAGCCTCCCTCCAAACTATTACCAGGCCCTCCCTTATGTTAAAAAACAAATTTGTTTAGAGTACTTTTTAGTAGAGAATTCGATATCTAAAATAACAAAGGTGTTACTTAAAAGGAATATACCTAAATGAGATTTCGGTTGTCACATCTCAAATCAGATGAATTCCTTACTTTTTTTCCTTACTTTCTTTTTTCAACTAGATGTCTCCTTTTATGTCTAGTTGACACAAAACTTTAATTTAAAAAAATTTATTTTTAATATATTTGATTTTGATGTCTTATTTTATTTGTTTTTTATCATATGTATAATTAAGAAATAAATTGATTAACTGAGAGGGAGAGAATGCCAGATTCTTTTTGGCTAAAGCAATTTCTAAAGTTCTCGTTTAAATTTTTCAATTATAATTTTTATTTTCATTTCTTTAGCATTTACATAATTATAAATAAAAATTAATTTATTTTAGGGCTAGCATTAAAGGAATGTTTTCTTACAAATTATTAATAGTTGGGTTGAAACAATAATTCCCCACCCCTAAATACACTACTGCACGTTCAAATGCCAAAACTCAAATAATTCACATCCCTCGATTAATTCCCCATGCCAAGGAATGGTTGAAAAAATAATTCCCCGGGGGAATTAATCGAGAAAATAT